ATGATCCAGCTATTCCACTACTGGGCATTTATCCAAAGAATATGAAAATCAACAATTGAAAAAGATTTATGCACCCCTACGTTCATTGCAGCATTATTCATAATAGCAAGACATGGAAGCAACCCAAATGCCCATCAACCGATGAATGGATAAAGAAGATGTGGTGTATATATACAATCATGCCATTTGTGATGACACAGATGGGTCTTGAGAGTATTATGTTAAGTGAAATAAGTCAGACAGAAAAAGATAAATACCATATGATTTCTCTCACATGTGGAAGATAAACACACAGATAAGGAGAACAGATTACTGGTTACCAAAGGAAAAGGGGATGGGGGAGGGCTATAGGGATAAAGAGGCACTTGCGTATGGCAACAGATAAAAATTAGACTAGTGGTGGTGAACATGATGCAGTCTATACAGAAACTGAAATACAATAATGTATACCTGAAATTTACACCATGTTAAAAGCCAATACGATCTCAATAAAATTAAAAACAAATAAGTCCTTTATAAAAGGTACATTTACCCTTTCATATTCTTTTGCTTTTATTGCCTTTTTGGTGTAAGTCTTCTACCTTTCTTGTTAGACTGATTCCTAGGAAGATTATGATTCTTATTAAAACATCCCTCGCCTCATGTCATTTTCTGATTAATTCTGACTTATAGAAAAGTTGATTTTTCAATTTTTTCAGAGAGTGGTTTCTCATTTGATTATCATAGTTGACAATCATAGTGTCTACAAATTTTGTCAACTCCTGATATTTATGTCACCCCGTTTTCTTTTCTTAGTGTGTCAGGACCTGCAGAACAAGGCTGAGTAGCAGCAGTAAAAGCAGGTACCCTAACTTGTTCCTAACTTCATTGGGAAGGTCTAATATTTTACACTAACTACTGCTTGCTTAGGGCTCTCATCAGATACACCCTTATGACATTAAGGGCATTTCATTCTATTCTTAGGTGGTTAAGAGTCCCCCACCCTGGAAATAAAGAACGGAGACTGAGTTTTATCAAATGCTCTTTGTACATCTGTATAGACCATGAATTGACTTTCTCCTTGAAATGGTGTCTGGCAACACAGCAAGTGCTCAGTTAATTTTAGTATTATTATTATAAAATCTTAATAACTGTATGTTAAATTCCTTTTTTGTATTCCAGGGATAAATCCTATTTGGACACAGTGGATTCTTTCAATACACTGCTGAATATGACTTGCTAATATTTTATTTAAGATTTGTGTATTATGTTTAATAACTATAGCTTTCTTTTTCTCGCTTGTACTTTCCTTGTTCAGTTCTAGTAATAAGGTTACGCCAGCCTCAGTTATTTCCCAAGAGCAATATTTGTGTTTTGCTTTCTGAGTTCAAAGTTCTCTGTACAGCCTTCAATTTGATTTGCTAATTGTGTTACTTAAGTCTTCTATATCTTGCCCCCCTTTTTTATTGTCTGGTCAGTCAGTACATTTGTGATGGATTTCTATAGAAGTGTCCGTTTCTCCCTGTACCCTCAACCATTTTCCTTTCTATATTGTGAAGTTTTGTTATTAATGATTGTTGTTAACTTCTCGATAAAATATCAATTATCACTGTTGTTTAATGGTAATTTAATAACTTAAATTCTACTGTCTAACATTAATTTTGGTACTGTCCACAATTAGTTTTTATATTTCAGACTCATTCTCAGAAAATTTTAAAAAGTATAATGAAGAACATTTACAAAAATATGTATTAGTAAATATCTATACCTCTTTCAAAAACCAAATGCTTGACACTAAAATCCAAGGCATAGACTACCACTGTATATATTTCCCGATTGTAGCTGTTCTAAATTACAATATGGACTTCTATTCATTCAAAAAATATATATAAAAAGAGGAAAAAGCCTCAGCAGCCTGACTATTATGGATTAAATGTGACACTACAAATAAATGTCCCTTTTTGTAGGCAGTTTCCAAGATGGGCCACAATGACCCTCGTATGTTTTACCTTGTGTGGTCTCCTCAGTACAACAGAGCTGACTTGGGTGACCAAGAAACGGAGGAAGTGACAGTATGTGACTTCCAAGGGTAGGTCATAAAGGCACTGCAGGAGCTACCTGGGTCTCCTGGATTGCTTGCTCAAGGGAAAGCTAGCCACCATGGGGCAAGGACAGTCACACAGCCATGTGGTAAGGTCCATGTGGAAAGAAACGAAGACCCCTTACCAACAGCCAAAACGAACTTGCCAGCCATGTGGAAGAAAGCGTATACCAACAGCCTGGAAGTGTATTTGCCAGCCTTAGACAAACATTAGGTGACTGAAGCCCCAGCTGACATCCTAATGCAACCTCATGAGAGATTCTGAGCCAGAACCACCCAACCCAACCCCTCTTGAATCCCTCAACTCACAGAAATCACAAAAGATAATGAATTGTTAGCACCTGTTTTAAACCACTAAGTTTTGAGATTTCTTAAGTAGCATTAAATAACTAATATATCATCTTACTGAACTCATAAAGAAAGAATATTTAAAGATAAAAGATCAGCTTCCTTTAAAATTATTAAAGTTAAATACTTTTAACTATCTCCTCTAATTTGTGGATATGATTTCTGTAAAAGAGTTGGCTAATAAAACTTACACAGTAGAATACAGCAAAATACGTGGTGTGAGTAAAGACAACTTCATGTGCCTTCTCACCATGTCCCCAGTTCGAGACACAAGTAGCCAGAAGGCTTTGGAGCCATAGGAATGGCATTTTCCATATGCCATTATGTTCAGGCTTCTGGTTTGTGACTGAGCTAAAATTTGAAATATTAGAGGAATTTTACTTAATTTTACCTTCTACTTAATAACCATTCACCAGCATCAATAATCTCAAGTCAGTTGGGAAACGGAAAAGTAAGCTTGAACCACTAAAATTACTAGCAAGTCTAAAAATTACTTTAGAAAATGAATTCATGTTTTTGTTTATCCCGTTATTTTTGCCAGCTCTTTACAAACTAGGACTCTGAAAACCAACTCTAGCATTTATCAAGTAGCTTATTTTGCTTAAAATATATTATCTACCCATGAGAGCTGTAGATTAAAACATCCAAGCTGTTAGAGAGAATTTAATTCCACCTCTGTTTGAAAAGGCTTACAATGTTTGAGTAAGGTACTCAATACTTGCTTAATCAATATTCTTGGCACTCAATCACATATAATTTATGATTGAAAATTAAGATTATTCCCTGGGTAAGGTACACCTGGAAATATGTAAGAACAAAACCTCTTGACTTTGCCACTGACCTAAAACACTTGGGTTTCAAAACGTTTCCTTGGGGTGTATCACATAAAAATGGCCATTTCTTAATTATATCCATCACATAAATGGAAGTATGGAAATGAGTATTAAAATAGGCCTGGAATTTAATTTTGCTCTTAATTTCAAACTTCAAACTTATTTCTTCCTATGGTCACCTATGTGTAAAACAGGCATAAGGATCAACACTGAAATCAAAGAAACAGATCAGAGAGTGCAGAAACAGACCCACACATATACAGTCAATTGATTTTTTTAATACAAGTGCCAAGGTAATTCAAAGGGAAAAGAAGAGTGCTTTTGACAAATGATGCTGGAAGGAACAATTGATTATCTGTGTATGCGGGAAAATAACTCTAAATCTTTACCTGTAACCATGCAAAAAAAATTCCTTACCTCTAATCATACAAAAAAATTAACTTGAAATTCATCACAGACCTAAACATAAAAGCTAAAACTATAAACTGCTTAGAACAAAACACAGAAGAAAATCTTTGCAACCTCAGGGTAGCCAATAATTTCTTAGATAGTAAGAATAATAATTTCTTTTGATACTTCAAAAGCACAAACTATAAAAGGAAAAAAAAGGCAACTGGACTTTGTCCATATTAAAAAATCCTGCTCTTCGAAACATACCATTAAGAAAATGAAAAGGCAAGCGACAGACTGTGAGAAAATAGTCACAGCACACAGATCTGACAAACGATTTGTACCTAGAATTTATAAAGAGCTTTTAAACAACTCAATAAAGATATAAACAGACCCCTCACCAGACATGTAAGTGGCATACGAACACATAAAAGATGCTCAGCATCATCAGTCATCAAGAAAGGCAAATTAAATCCCCAATGAGCTATAATTACACACCACTAAAATGGCTAAAATTAAAAAGACTGACAGTACACAATTTTGGAGAGGATGTGGGGCAACAGGAACTCTCCCACACTACTGGCAGGAATGTAAAATGGTACAATCACTTTGGGACACAGTTTGACAGTTTCTTAAAAAGTTAAACATATAGCTCTATTCATAACAGCCTAAATCTGATAGCAATTCAAATGTCCACCGACAGCTGAATGGATAAAGAAAACACAGTAGAGCGAAACATATAATAGATTAGCATTCAGCAATAAAAAGGAGTGAACTACTGAAACTATACATGCAATAACATGAATGAATCTCAAAAATCTTATGATACGTGGAAGAGGCTGGACAAAAATAACACACTACATTATCCATTTATATGAAATTCTAGAAAGACAAAACTAATCTATAGTGATATAAAGCAGATCAGTGGCTGCCTAGGTCTAGGGATAGTGTGAGGGAATTGACTGCAAAGGAGTATTAAAATTTTGGGGGGGGGGTAATATTCTATATCTTGATTGTGATGGTAGTTACACAGGTACATACATCTGTTAAAATTCACAAAATTGTGCACTTAGATGTGGTATATGTTTTATTATATAAAATTTATACTTCAATAAAGTTGATTTTAAAAAACCAAATCAAACATGACCCAATAACTGTATGATGTTCATGTAGTTCCACAGCCCATGGAACTATTAAGCTGTTTTCTCTAATGTCACTCAAAGGTTGAGTATAAATAATAATACTCAAATAATAATAACTCTAAAGGTTACTCTAATAAGAAAGACTCAAGTAACAGGTGAGAATTAAAAATAATACAATTTGTTAAAATTTATATAACCAACCCATACCTCAAACGTGTATTTTTCTCTATTATTAAAGAGCATTAATATGGTCATCTGGAAAGTGGAGACTTGCAGTATGTGCTTCCGTGTATTAGAGCCAGTTACTTGTGCCCCTCCAACACCAACTTCAGATCCATCTTCCTGTTTCATTTTTTAAAAAATATAAACAAGACATAATTACTGGTAACTTTAATAGTATGTTTAAGAAATAAACTCTGTAACGTTCAACTCCCCTTAACAAAACTACATAACTTATTCCTATATAAAAAAGAAATGTCATTTAAAAAATGTGTTATGTGTGTACACACATACGCACGCACACAAAGTATTTATTTAGGATTGTTTTTTTTTCCATTGTAAATAATTTTTAATGTATCTGAGCAAGTAATGAACCAATAATTCCTTATATTTACAGCCAAGATTATTTTAACAGTTGCACAATGGGATAATAATGGACTTATAAGACATCACTGCCATTATACCACTACCAAAAGTATCAGGGTTAGGTTTCTTTTTGTGTGGTCTGATCACAGTAAGAGCTCAAATAATACCACAGGATAGGGGGAAAAAACCTCTGCTATCCTTAAAGCCTGTTTCTGCTCTATAATTTAAGAAGCACAAAGTAGAAATTTAAGTCTTCAACAATTAACATATGAATTGTTTTTAAAACCTACTGATCTGTTTAAAAAAACTTCAAAAAATAACATGATTAGTTAGAAAAAAAAATCTCTTTAAAACAAAAAGAAGCAGTAATTAAAAGCTGAGTTCTTTAATATCCTTGACCCTCCCACTTACACTTAAATATATAATAGTGTCAAACATTATTCAACTAAATGAACTGTAAGGAATATTTCCCACGTCAATTAAATATAAAAATTAGACTATGTGTAGGCATTTTCAATAGTCTTAAAAAAAAAAAACTTTGGTGTTACAGTGACTTATCTTACGCAACTATTAAGATTCTAATTAAAATATAGAATAAAGCTGTTATTTGCTGCCTAGATGACAACTTAGGTATTTTTCCTTAATGTTTTTCTAGAAGCTTTTTATTATTTTTCTATTTTAAGGCAAATGACCCTGATTTGATTTATACCAAGCAGTAAAAGTAAACTGTTACTCTAAACCTCACAATTTTAGATATAAAAGAGCAATTACTTTTTTTAAATGAAGGCAATTCACTAGTGTATTGCTAATTTTTAAATAATCCCTTTAGTAACATTTTGTGCATCTCACAAATCTCAAGTGTTAACTTTCCCGATTTTGATTTACCAGAAATAAGGATTATAGGAGACTGAGAATTTTAAAAAGGGACTCATGTCTTTGTATGCCCTCAAATCAACTTACATTTTATTATTTTATGCAATACTGTCTCAAGTCTAATCTTATAAATAAAATGTAATTATCTTATTATTATTTATTCCTTAAGAAAGTCTACTGGTATAGTCTTCATATTGCCAAATGAAGTTAGCAACTGAGGGAACACAAAAACACACATCACCCCTTTTTAATATTTGAAACACCTAGGGAAATACATGATTTACCCAGGTCAACAAAAATCACAAATCAGTTCTATAGACTAATTTTAGTTACTTAATATAAGTATGTTCAAACGATCAGTATTTACCTTTTTGACTGGTCCATAAAAGGTGGCATTGAGATCTGCAGAACCCATGTGATGCTGGAGCGTGAGCTGTCGACCACTGTGTTTGGCTAAGTAAAACCTTCAGCAAATCAAACCAGGTTTTAGAGAACCATACGATTTACATATTTGAAATTATAAACTACAGGATGACAACCTTAACAAACATATACGTAAGGAAAACTTTTAAAGCTAAAGGAAATCTTAGGAATCAAGTTCAGTTCCAATTTTTACAGAATAGGAAACAAAAAAAAAGGAGGTGGGGGGAAGAGAGAGACAGAAAAAGACAGACCTAAGTAACTTAGCTAGATATTAAATGATAAAGGTAGCACATGAAATAATTTCTATTGGTACACTTTGCCCCTGGCCTGCTGCTCAGCCACTGCTGTTCCTAAGACTACGTTTCTCCATGGTAACCCAAGAATCAATCTGCCCTAAGCCAGTGGAAGATACCAACAATACAAAACATACTCCTAACCGGGCACTAATGGTGAACAAAGGACATTAACAAAATATTCCGCTGAACAGAGTTTACGCTACTCATTCTTACACACTAAAAGCATAAAGGACAAATTCTCCTTTTGAACATGAGGTAAAAAAACAGAGTACATTCATCCTCAATCAGGGACACTACTAATGCTCAAATTTATTTCAATTTTGGACAATTATTTGTACCTAGAAATAACAAAGTTTGATCTATGTTTACCTTCTGAATATCTCAAAAGCATGTCTTGGTGCTGGTGGGATGTTGCACTTTGGTGTGGCTGACTGAGTGGGCCAATATCCTGTCGTGAGCACCCGCACTGTGAGATCAACGCCACCTAAAGACACCTGTGTAAAAACAGAAGATGTTCCATCCAAATTAACTCGGATTTGTTATCCGTTCCGTATAGACACTGTGTTAGAGTTCTCAGTGTAGTTAGGTCCATGTCCAACGTCTAGCAAACAAAAGATATCTTCTTACTTGTTAGATCTACCCAGTATTTTCCAAATTTCAACTATCCTGGCAAATATTTATAATTATTGCTTAAGACAATTGCTTAAGACATTGACATTTAAATACTGACCCAAAGGATAGTGCTTAGCATGTGAACAAAGTCTTACTGGTCTCGTTGAGAAGTGCAAAGTTTTGGCCCTTAAGCTTCTTTAGATAAAATATCAAGGGGCCGCATCAGTATCATTTCAGAGAAAATTCTAGGATAATATCTTTCATCTCAGCTTTTAAATATTCTTACCATCTTAACACACAAACAACATATTTCTAATATCCTATTTACATTTCAACTACATTGATCAAAATTTTGATGTTTTCACATGTAGTTCACATTCTAACAACTTTTGCACAGGACACTGAAGATCCAGCTCGACACAGTAGGTGCGCTCTAAGTATTTGTATAATGGACGACTACCTCTTCTTAATATAGCATTAATGTCACAACTAGATATTTTCTTCTTTTTAAACAAATTAAAATTTTAAGAAAATAACAACAAAGCACATCAACAAGAATCCTTTAGGGTGAAATGTTATCTTATATTAAGAGGGGTTCCATGGTGTAATGGTTAGCAAAATATTATCTGGACTCCAAAATATTATCTAGACTCCAAAATATTATCTTTATTATTGATATTCACAGCTTGTTCTAAACCATTATTCCATTTTTGGATGATTTAGTGATATTGATTTCTAAAAGGGAAGGATGAGTTTATAAATATCAAGAAGTATTCCACATTCAGATTTCTTCACAGGTATCTACTAAATGATTACTTCATTTTAAAGAAATTGAAACCAGAAATCTTAGATGACGCACAGGAGAGATGACCACAGCAGAGACTCTTGGATGACGAATGGAGGAGGGCAAAGAACTTTCTGTACATTTGCGAGTAGAGTGAGGGTACAAACTCGGTTCAATCCACTCAAGACCACAAAGTCTTTGATCTCTTCTCCCATATACTCACATCTTGATCCCTAAACTTCAAATCTTTCCTCAAAATGTCATTTTTTAAAGAAGGCCTTGCCTGACCACTCTTTCTGCTACAGATTTCCTCTGTATCTCCTATCACCAGCTAAGGTGCTGTGTGTTTTCTTATCTTGTTTATCATCTGTCTCTCAGATTAGAACATAAGCTCCATCACAGCAGGGATTTTGGTCTACTCCATTCTTTGCTGTGTACTCAGTGCCTAGAACCACGCTTGGCAGAGAGAGCACTTAACGCATCATTTGTTAAATGGGGGAAGAAAAGAACCTCAAAGAACTATTACTCTATCGGTTTGTGTCTTCACTTCCTAGCTATCTTAGTAATACTTTGAAGCCATTCAGCTTAGCCATGTGCCACCTAACAACATTTCAGTCAACAATGAACCACAAATACAACAGTGGTCCCCTAAGATTGGTACCAGACAGCCTAGGTGTGTAGTAGGCTATACCGTCTAGGTTTGTGTAAGTACACTCTATGATGTTCACACAACAACGAAATTACCTAATGATGCATTTCTCAGAACGTTATCCCCATTTTTAGACACATTTCTCAGCATATATCCCTGTGGCTATGCGATGCATGACTGTATATTCAAAGATACCACATGACAGTGCCAAGTACACAAAGAGGTACCAGAAAAGTCTGTCAGGATATGATATGATTTGCTGATATATATAAAAAGAAATATGATAGCAAGGAGGTTTTCCTGCCCATCTCATTTTAAAACTAAAAACACAGGGAAAAAATGGACAAATACTTATATTTCCTTCAGCATAATAAATAAGATTTATCTATATAAAATAAAAGGATTATTAGAATTTTAAGAAAGTACTTGTTATATGATTCCTAAAAGTAAACGGAAGAGCCACTCTCTTGGTATATTTCAATAGGCCAAGAACCTCTAAGAAAGTTACAGAGAATCATCTGCCTGAGAATTGGTGATATTTTAAAGGGCTCAAAGATTTCAGAAAGCTCAAGATTTGTTTTGATTACTTTGTCAATTTTCATCAAATCTTTCTAATGTAGATTAATGCTTAGGAAACTTGAAGCTTAAGGTCCTTGGCATAAATAATTATAAAAGAGCCAATAACTGCAGGCAAATAATGGCCTAAAAGAGGAAGCTGCAACCAGATTAGCAGATATATAATTCTGAGCATCTTGATAAGTACTCTACTTACTGTAGTAAACAAATTATTAAACAAATATTGTACACCACAGAGTGCAGGATATATATGAATAGTCAAGATGAAAGACTGGAAAACTCAGAAACTTTTATATAACTAAAGAAAATAACAAAGGCAAAAAGAATCTGACAAAATCATCAGATTGCACAATCATCCCCCCTTTTTTAAATGAAACAACTGCAACGGAGGAGTCAAGATAAAGACTGGAATTTTCTTATCAAAAGGGCTTCAACTACCAAGGTAATCAGACACTTAAACAGTAAGGGTGTTGAACGCATCCAGGAACATTCCCTTACAGATGGTTTCAATGGAGGATTTATTCAGACTAGGCTGTCTCCTTAGAGCTCTCAATATGTGTAAGATTAGGGGAAGAAAAACAGAAAAAAAAATTATCTCACATGAAAATACAATTATATCAATGTACTAGACAGAATGAAGTACAAATCCCTAAACAATCTAAAAAAAAGCTATCTAGGATAATCACATTATTCGGTTTCTGCCCACCTAAACTTCTATTTATCACAGACATATCTTTCCCGCTCTCTGCCCTTCTCCATTGGAAACATTATGAGACAAATTAAACAACTATTTACAATGGAAAGGGACCAGAAGTCCCTGAGTCAGAATGCCTTAATATATATAAATGTCTATTTCTATAGAATTAGGTATTTTCACATATTTTGTTTGTGATGATACTGTGGGACAACTATAAGTGGTGATTTCATATTCAAATATCAAAGGCAAGACCTCCAAATTTTTTTATTGTGACCTGTCTTAATTAAAAAGTGGTATATGGTCACCTCAGAGAGAAAACTTTTAGAGGAAACAAACTGTGGAGTTCTCTAAACTTACAGTTGAGATAAAGTTGAAAAACAGTAAAACAAAACAAACAAATTCTGAACTTCACAGGACTCCAAAGCTGTGCAAGTTGCAGCTTACCACCTGCTGGGAGTCACAACACTAAACCATAATTATAACTATACACTAGCGTCAGTGTTTATACTCAGCTCACCCCCATCAACCCTGAGGACGTCATGCCCATTTATGCTGATCTGACAGATGGGAAGGAGATTACTGAGGTACAGGAAGCTCAGGTGACAATTTCAAGATGGCACAATCCTGGGGTGAAGTGAAAGGAAGAGTACTAAAATTCAGTAAGCTTGCCTAAGCCCCGTATTATTCTCACAATCTATAATGGTTGTAACAGCAGAACTATTCTATTTACTAAATTTTCACTGCATTCCTTCAAATAGGGAGGATAAACTAAGTTTTAGAAGGAATGTTATAAACCAATGTTACTGCAATAAACAAAAAATTAAAAAAAAAATAAAAGGGTTCTTCTGCTAAAGTTAAAAAAAAAAAGAAAAAAGAAAAGGATAAGAAAAAATATTTTAACATTAATAGTCTGAAGATTATATGGGGGAAAATAATTTTTAAAGCACTCACAGATAATACATATGTTGTCACTAATAACATTTAAGAAAATGCCACCAGCAGTTCAGTTATCTGATACATAGATGAAAATGTCCATTACAAAAGATTTTACATGAATACATACACATAAGTAGAAATTAGTGGAGAATCTTACCCCAGTTGCCTGAAGATGTTGCCTGAATTCATCCATAGTTGTGTTTGAGATGCTCATATCCCTAAACATTCCTTCCAGTTTTGATGTGAACTGACAGCCACATTCAGTCTGTGGAAGAAAAACACAAATATACACCAAAAAATGATGGATTTTTCTATGAGAAAACATACAAAGAAATAAATTCTTCCATGTTACTGCCATCCTTTCTAAATCTTTCCAATAGTTGTGCTATGCTCTGGGTACCAAACTTTAATGTGTTTAAGAATAATCCAAGGACTTTTTATTTCAAAACACAAATTCCCAGCAGACTCTTTCAGAGATTCCAAGACACTTCACCAAAGGCAGGGCCCAGAACTCTGCGTTTACAACAAGCCCGTCAAGTGATTTGGGTACAAGTAGTCTACTGAACACATTTTGTAAACAGAACTACACGGTAATATTCTCTTATTGTTTCCCTTGTACTAATCCTCCCCAAATTTCCATGCCACACCAAGAGAAATTTTGGCAAACTCTGACTGTTCCAAAACTTGAACAAAGGTAAGCACAGCCTGCTCAAAAAAAAAAAAAAAAAATCTACTTTATTAATTTATAGAAATAAATATTTTCCAATCTCATGTCGTTGGTGTTCAATCGTGATAAACATTAGTTAGGTGCACTCCATTCCATCTTATATACACCTTACCTTTAACTTAGATATCATATTTTTTTCAGAGTCATCAGAAACACTTTTATTTGTGAGAAGTCTCCTTGCCAAGTGTTGTTTGTAATAACGTTCAAATACATCTTTTTCTTGCATAAACCTAAAAAGGACCATTGCCTTATCCAATATTGTTTCTACTTCTTGTTCTGTTAGCTGCAAAACAATTAAAAGGCAATTTAACAACTGCAAAATTTCAGTTCTACAAAAATAGCACCACAGTTCATCTACAGTTAAAAACAATACCGTCTGACAACAAACAGAAATATCTGGTTGAGATATATGAGAAGGAGGGACCTAGTATAAGGAAGTGCCTCCTACTTCACACAGCAGCATAACTCTTACGTCCTCATCTAGTGCAGCACCCAGCAGGGGTAGGAGTGGAGTTTCGTTCCCTAGAGGTCTCTACTGAAATGGAGGCACCAAGCGATATATGGCTGGAGTAAAAGATGACTGAGAACAGATGAAATGAAATTTTATTTTTTGAAAGCTACCATTTATTGAGCACTGTGCTAAGTGCTTTACATATATTGTTTTTTTTATTGAGGTCACACTGCTTTATAACATCATATAATCTTCAGGTGTATATCATTATATTTTGACTTCTGTATAGACTACATTGTGTTCATCAGCAAAAGTCTAGTCGCCATCTGTCACCATACAAATGTGCCCTTTACCCTCCAGTCATCCTGCTTCCACTCTGGTAACCACCAATCTGGGGTGTGTGTGTGTGTGGGGTGTGTGTGGGTGTGTGTGTGTGTGTGTGTGTGTGTGTGTGTTATCTTCCACATGAGTGAAATCACGGTATTTGCCTTTCTCATCTGACTTATTTTGCTTACCATAATACTCTCAAGGTCCCAGCCATTGAAATGAAATTTTAATCACAAAAAAGAATATTTTACAATGCCTTTGCGTAATATTTAGGCAGAAACTTACATAGCCAAAAGACAGATATTTTCATATAAGCCCATTCAAAACATAAATTGTGCAAACAGAAGGGTAATAATTTGTTATAATTCAAAGAGTAAAAAGACCCCTTGCCTTTATCTTTTAAATAAGGGCAGGACGATATTGTGGCAGGTTGTATTAAGATCACATTTAAAAATATGGAAGACCGAATGGATGTGTCTTTTCTGTGCCCTTGGTGATCTTCCTCGTTTGTTTCTTTGTTATAACTGTCTGTGAAACCTGTGGCCATTTGTTGCTTTTCCCTTTTGTGTCACAAATTCCAAGATTAATTAAAAAAAGAAGAATTTATATGAGATCACAATATGCTTAATTTGATTTTCTATGCTGTAGTAAGCTTCTAAGATCCCAGACATATAATAAAGGCTTGACACTGAGCTTTAGTGTATGCTTTCACACTATTTTCTGATAGCTATTCCAGTCTACGCATTCAAAATCTTGGCATCCAAGTATTGTTTGATATATAACCCCCAGAACCAGATGAGCAAGCAAGATTCTGTGCTATGGATAGTTGTTTTCTAGTTCCTTATTATCTCTCTGGCATATCTATCTGGCATATCCCTCACAATCTAAAGACCGCATAGTTGTTTGTTTTTGATGCCAATTACACATTAAGTACTCCTGAGTATTTCAAATACCTTAAAACAATCCTTTTCAAAGATCACAGCACACACTTAAGTGCAGCAACAGGCTATGCTTAATTTTATATCTACAAAAATCCCCTAATTTTACTTTTATATACAATTTTATATCTACAAATAAAATTTAAAGTGTTTTCAAATTCATTAATACTTACCCCTTTGACTCCCTTTTTCAGCTTATCATCAATAAATAATGAGAGGTATTCAGGGGACCTGGAGTTGAGGTTGAGAAAATACTCAAAGTCACCAGCAATAGTTTGTTTAAAGAGCCGGTCATTATTGAATGATTCCTGAAGGAAGCGATCAAACCTACTCTTCAGATCCAATAAGCCCTTCCAAAGAAAAACAAAGAAATTTAGGATACATTATAATAATTTTTCTATAAACATACTGTTTGTCTTAACTTTGCTGGTAATAATGTGTGCATTTGTTAAACTTATAGATTCTTTATTATTATATTAAGCCTATATCTAAGCCTGTCTTAAAAAAGTCAGTGATGAAGGAAGTACTCTATCCTCCATTTGTGTATTACTCTATTGAAGATGAACAGAAGAACTTTCTCACTGTTTCTTCCCACCCTCCTCTGTCTTGACTGAAGGGGTAAGCCTGAGAAAATTAGCTTTAAAAATATACAAAAAAGCTAATTATTTATATTAAAATATGAAAAACTTAGAGCATAATTTATTTGTAGTATTGCTTGAAAGCAAAACATTATGAAGCAGAAAGTATTTAACTAAAACACAGTTATGTTTTCTAACACACCAAGGTATATGAATGCTAAACCATAGCAAAACAGTAGAAAGACTTTCATTCTTGAGACTATTTCAACAAGGTCTTCATCAGACAAGCCAATGAGTGAAAAGCAGCAGCTGAGTCTGGCCCTCTGCTATAAACACACTCTCTGCAGAACTCGACCATATTCAGGGTAATCACACATTAGTTTACCACTGGGACAATTAAGTTAAAATACACAGTACATAGCTCAGTAAAAGTGAGCTTTTTAGCCCTTGTCAAAATTACTTTACCATAAACTTAACGAGAATCTTCTGTATTTACTGACCTGGATATAGTCAACAGGATTCTTTCCTTCTCCTTCCTCAGAAACAAGGGCTTTACCTTGCTCCCTCAAATAGGAACTCATACACTCACACATCGTTTTCAAACCATTTGGCACACGACTAAATAACTTGTACATGCAAGCAAGATCTGCAATCAGAAAGAACACACAAATCGGCTACATTAAAGATCAAGGGGAAAATGTGAATCTCTGTTCATGCTGATTTGTGACATTTAAAGAAGCTTATTTCTCCATTACTACAATTTGCTGACCACATGAAAAACTACTAAAAAAACCCCCAGCAAAATAGAAAAAAAGGAAAAAATAATAGGCTAGTTAAAAGTTATTATTGCAATTTATGAGATACAGCTTTCATATGAGATGCTTTGAAGCATCAATAAAGTGTCCTAGCAAATGTTAGTTGACATGGAAAAGGTGCCCAAACAGCATAATAAAGAAAGCCACGAAAAATGAAAACTGCCGTTTTGAGTTCCTACATAATTCATCCTATATATATATATAACTCTAATCTAGAACCTAGTAATACTACAAAATGTCTATCAAAAGAATAATGTTAATTATGATATAATTGGTAGTCAATATAATAAGGAATTTAAAAACCAATCAAAGTCTTACAGATATTTTTAAGTAAGTCTACCTCGAAAGTTCAAATGACAACCACGACAACAAAGAAAATAAAATATACTAGAATTTATTTCATTACACATCATGGTCAGGTTTATATAAAATTAATAGCATAAATTCCTATTCTTGAATATTTTCCTGAGAGCAATCCCTAATATTTCCCAGGTGATGCCCTAAGCCAATATCTGTATTTTAAAAATCGGTTTATCTCACTACATTGTTTTTATTTAGAATGAAAACTCTAGACTCTATCCATTGTTTATATCCTTTTTCACAAGATTAGAATGTGGAGTTGAAATGCTGCTTTTCCGTACGTGGAGTGCTTCTCTGAAAGAGGAACGTAGTGGGAGACGACAGTGTCAGAACTCTACAATCATATACAAAGTGTTATGATCAAGAGCTTGTGAAAACGGAGGTAGAATAGCAGTTTCTACATCAGGGGCTGGGAAATGTTTTCAGTAAAGCACCGGACAGTATATATTTTAGACTGTGGGCCACATGGTCTCTGTTGCAACTACTCAGTTTTGCCGTTGTGCAAGAAAGAAGCCATAGATAATACATAAATGAATGGGCATGACTGTGTTCCCATAAAATTTTATTTACGAACACTGAAATCTAAAATCTATATAATTTTCATGTGTAATGAAATATTACTCTTCTTTTGATTTTTTTTCCAACCAAACTCGTGGTGGGCCACATATGGCAGACTGGTTCTATAATTTTCCTACTCAGGTCTATATTTATAAAAGCAATTTAGATCCTAAAACTAAAGTTGCATGTATTTAAAAAATACTTAGAAAGCAAGTTTTACAAAAAAGGCTTTTGACTTTCAAAAGCAAACTTTATAAAAAAAATAAGTTTTCATCAATAATATATGCCCAAAGTAATCTATACACAGCAAATCTTATAGTTTCTCATGTTTGGCATAAAGTAAAACCAAATTTCCCATGTTAAAAACAGGTATTACAAATGCAAAATCAATTTATGGACATATACTATAGTAAATTTGGCATATAATCAATATGCCTCTAACAAACCTCTAACAATATGGTTTCCAACTTGTGTATTTTGTTTCTATGTTATTACAATTTTGCTTAATTATATGTTGTATATTTAATTGTACATAAATTAATATAATTTCATTGTATTTAATTCACTGTATATAAATGTATGGTGTAGTGAAGAATGTGAAAGAGAAAATGAAAACACTTGGCATTCAAAAATTAAATATCATTATTTCTGTATACACTTAATAAAACAATAAAATGAGATACCATTTGAACTTAATTTCATAGTGCTATCTGCATCTAATAATCAATCCAATTCATCCTCCATTCATGGTGGGAAAACTGTTTTTCACTTTCTGATTTATGAGACATTTGGCTTCATAATGGTGAAGTTGTGCCTCTGACATATTCTCGTCATACTGCTCAAGAGCAGGGCCTAGCATAATTAAGACATTTCACGATTAGATTTCTAGTGGAAAGGCAGGAAAAACTGAAGCCAGGATTTCAAAATTTAATTTAGAATCACTGATAATTGCTTACTTGCTGAAAACATTAAGCACTACCTAGAGAACTATGGTAAGTAGCTATTCAGATACTTCTTCATTTATGTACTTATTAAGCACTTGCCCTGTGTGAGGCAGACTTAATGCCTTTAACACAAGTGTCCATACAGATTACAGAGATACTATAACTGAGGCATACCCAACCTCTCCATCAAACATTTCCTAACCCCTAATCTCCAGTCCATTTAAATCTTCCCCCTCCCTCCTCCAAAGGTAGATAAGAAAGTATTAACAGCTAAATAGTACATTAGAAAATTCATCGATTCTCATTTTAAGTAGGGAAAAATGTTTTTCATAAAGTCCTAGTCTGCCAGGGACCGTTTAGATCAGGGATTATCAAATTGTAGCCCACGGACCAAATATGGCCCACTGCCTGTTTGTGTCAACAGCTCATGAACTAAAAAAGGTTTTCACCTTTTGAAATGGTTGAAAAAAAAAAAATCAAACAAAATTTTATAGGAAGATAGTCAAGCTTATTCATTTGTGTTACTGTCTATGCCTACTTTCTCATTATTATAGCAAAGATGCATAGTTTATGGTACGAGCCACACACCTAAAATATTCACTATCTATCCCTTTACCAAAAAGTTTGCCAACCCCTGACTTAGACCTTAGACATCCAGGAGCAGCTGATTGTAGAAAGCCTGACAAACATACTTAGAAACGATTTTTGTTTTGTTTTCTGCTTTTACAAAAAATGTTTATCATCAGAAGAGTCTTTTAAAAATTGACTTGCTCTGGCTTAATAAAAACAAATTTACATACAACTTTTCAGAAACTTTTCATATATATAGAAATATAACCATTTCAAAACACAAAGCAAGGATTTCACTACAGGAAGCATGGAACAACCTCTCTTCTCACCATCTTTCTTTTCCCTTCTCTTACATTCTCTTCCCTCTCTTTTAAATTATTCACTTAAAAATTTTTTTTCATTCCCTAGTTAGGGTCATGACTCCAACAGGCAATATGTATTTCTTTTATAAGAAGAAAGTGGCTAAAAAATTGCTACGACTTCCTCTAAAAAGCAGGAGAATAGCAAGAGTACCATGTTGACTTATTTAATACCATATCAGTAACTTATAAGTCACAGTTTTAAAGCAAAGCTTCAGAAAATAAGAATGAAGACAACATGACTATTTTCTTTTACTTATAATTTCTTCTAGAGTACCTGTCACAAAATATCATTTTTAGGAAAATAAAGGTAAACAGCCAAAAAGAGTAAATGCTAGAGTTATCTCAAAAATGTTTACATTTACTTTTATGCAACTCTCCTTTCTCCTTTTTCAGTCTATGACTTTAGAGTTCCCCAAACCAGCCTACTTATTTATCTAAATATGTTGATATGGAAGACAAATATTTTTGCATTTTAAGCACCCTTATCACAACTAACTCCCAAAGGAAAGCCTAAACAAATTTTAAGATTGGAACTTCAGATTTTAAAAGAATCATAAAAACTACAGAAAGTATGGCATGGAGAGAATCCAAACCCTCTGGTATATAAAAGCAAAGTACAGTAATAGAGGAGGAGATCATTGGCCTCACCAATAATATTAAACTTATCTTCTGGGTTAAGAAAAACACAGTGAGGAGACTTAAAATGCAACAGAGAAGAAAAAGCCACTCAGTTCACTAGCAGTATCTAAAACTGTCATTAACGAGTGTAAAGCTTTACCATTAAATCCTATCAAAGTAACAACGGTGAGAAACTAATGACACACGCCACAACTCCTTGAAAACTGACATTCATAATCTTATTTTAAGAAAATAAAAAAATTACTGAGAAGCTGGCAGAATTTTAAGGATTTAATTATTTTTCGATTGCTAACACTTACCTTCTGTTTTTCCGTTTTTCAACATATGTACTAGCCCAGAATTCTCCATTTCTACTATAGTTTTCATGTGCTTGGAAATGAGTTCCCTCTCAACCACCTTTACAATTGGCTCTTCGGTTGATTTGTCAAGGCAGTGCATCACCCGTTCTATTTCTTCATTAATTCTAGCTTCTACTTTCTTTATATATACTGAAGCACTGTTTTCTGCTAAAAATTTCTGGCTTTCCATCTGCAAGTAAGAAGCATGATTTTTTTTTTTAAACATAGAAGCAAAATGTGTCTGCTTTTCACTGGTTTTCTATAGTGTTTATCATAAACCACATTAAATATCATGAGCACTATTAATAGTTTATAGTTTCATATAGTTTGAATTATATCCTTTAAAGCATTACTTACATAGGACTAAATTAATACCTTATCCTTAAGCAGTGTTTTTCAAACTCTGTCAATGTACTCCAAATAGGAGAAAAAGTTATAATAAGCCCGTGCTAGTGAGGGTCAAAAGTACAAAATGGAGCATCTGACCCCAAAGGAGAGTGGGAAATTCTTCTTTGATTTAACGTAAAATTATGCCTAGAAAAATTCATCAAGTTTATCATACAGTTTTGCTGACACACTGCTAGTTACCAAAGTCCTCCTGTCATCCCACTCCCAGTCTCAAAGGAGTATACATACTGAAGTTTGAGAAGTAGAGCTTTTAAATAACTATTAATCTTGTCTGCCAACACCAGCCTTACAGAAGCTCCACTTAATTATAAACGCTAACCCAGTTGATTTTAACCTATTTGATGGTAGGATTAACCAATATACCTAAGAATTACATAATACAAGACATGATATAAACCGTGTAAAAATTTAATAACACTTCCCATTTTCTTAACAAAAAGTAGTTTTAATCCTTGAAAATAATCACGTTTCTAAGAACAGACATTACCACACCAAACAAAAATCTTGGTGAGACCATCTCTCCACTCACTATCAAAAACAGTATGTATTGGGGCTGGCCTCGTGGCTTAGCGGTTAAGTGCGCGGGCTCTGCTGCTGGCGGCCTGGGTTCGGATCCCGGGCGCGCACCAACGCACCGCTTCTCCGGCCATGCTGAGGCCGTGTCCCACATACAGCAACTAGAAGGATGTGCAGCTATGA